CATAAGTTTGAGGCCAGCCTGGGATACATGGTGAGTGCAAGGCACGTCTGAGTTGCATAGTTAGTCCGTCTGAAAAACTAAAATGAAGGAAATATTTTATTTATCCTTTTTTTTTTTTTTTGGTACCGCAAATTGGACTCAGGACCTTGCACTTGCCAGGCAGGCGCTTATGCCACTGAGCTAAACCACAGCCCAATAATATAATTTTAAAGGGCTGAGAATGCAGCTCAGCACAAAGCCCTCACTTTGATCCTCAGTACTAAAAAGAAAATCAACCAAAAGAGCATAAAAGGAAGCCCAGGGTAGGAGCTGTGGTCAAAGGGCAAAAATACAAAGATCACTTTTATTATTATCGTTTCTATTATTATTATTATTATTATTGTCTTTTTGTGACAGGGTCTTACTATGTTGTTCAGGCTGGCCTCAAGCTCATTTTGTAACCCAGGTTGGTCTCAAACTTAGAACAATTCTCCTGCCTCAGCCTCCCCAGTGCTGGGATTACAGGCCTGCACACCACACCCAGCTTTACAAAGACTATTACTTTCTTTTTCTGTCTTTTTCCTTTTTATCGGTACCGGGGATCAAACTCACGACTGCCTGCTTGCAAGGCAGGTGCTTATGCCGCTGAGCTAAATCCCCAGCCCCAAGACTATATTTTCTAAGAACTGAATCTGAGGTATTGCTAAGGCTGCTTCCCACTGCTGTAACAAAACACCTATGTAAAGAAAAGTGGCTTATTCGGTGCATAGACTTGGAGGCTGATGGTCCAGGACCCACAGCTGCACCAGTTTGGGCCCCGGTAAGCACTGCTGGCAGTTGGTGCAAGGGCAGAGGTACACAGAGCAGGGATCCCAGGGTGAGACCATGCCCAGGGGTGGGGAGCAGCCAGTCTCCTCTTTGAGAACCAACCAGGGTCCAGGAAGAACTGTGATAAGCCCTTCTGGGGATGGCTCCCAGGGACCCAAAGTCCCCACAGGCCCCCATTCTTAGAGGTCAAGTCCCCATCTGATTTCACCACCCTGAGCTCCAGGCCTCCAGGACAGGAAGCCTCACCCTTCAGGCAAGCTCACAGATACCATCCCCGGCCACCTTCAGAGCTGTCTGTCTAATGTGATTGGTTAAAAACACAGAAGCAGTAAATCGGGCACCATGATACACCTCTGTCATCCCAGCACTCAGGACACTGAGGCAGGACGACTGCCTGGAATTAAGAGGCCAGCCTGGGCACCATAGCAAAAGCCTGTCCCAAACATAAAACGAAAAGAGAATGTAGCTAGGTTAAGGGGAAAGAATCATTGAGAGAGAAAGACAGAGACAGAGACAGAGAGAGACAGAGAAAGACAGAGAAAGACAGAGAAAGACAGAGAAAGAGACCCAGTAGGAAGCCACAGAAGCTCAAGAAAGGGAGTAACTGATGGAGGAAAGTTCTCAGGGAGGCTATAGAGAAAAGACTACTTTTTTGAGACAGGGTTTCACTATGCAGTTCAGGCTGGCTTTGAATTCACTGTGTAGCCCAAACTGGTCTGAACTCAGTGATCTTCCTGCCTCAGCCTCCCAAGTGCTGGAATTACAGCATGCGCCACCATACCTGGCTAAAACATTTTATTTTATTTTTGTCTTTTTGAGACAGGGTCGCGCTCTGCAGTTCAGGCTGACCTAAGCTCACTTTGTAGCCCAGGCTGGTCTCCAACTTGCAGTGATCCTCCTGAGTGCCTGGCTAAGACTTCAGATACGAATTATAACAATAGTTTAAAAATAATGGGGTGAAAGCCAGACATGGTGCACCCTGGGAAGCTCTAGCAGGAGGACTGCAAGTTTTAGCTCTACTTGGCAATTTAGGGAGACCTTTCTCAAAAATCAAAATGAAGCTGGTGGTTCACACCTGTAATCCCAGCACTCAGGAGGCTGAGGCAGGAGGATCATTTTGAGTTTGGGACCAGCCTGGGCTACAAAGTGAGCTCAAGGCCAGCCTGAACTGCACAGGGAGACCCTGTCTCAAAAGACCCCCCACCAAAAAAAAAAGAAAAAAAAAGAAAAATGAATGAATAATAAATAAAATGATTTTGAAAGGGCAAGGGGTACAGCTCAGTCTAAAGGCGCTAGGTTCAATCTTCGTGTGCCCGTGTGTGTGTGTGTGTGTGTGTGTGTGTGTGTGTGTGTGTGTGAAACTATGTCCATAATAAAGAATTACAGGGCTGGGGATTTAGCTCAGCAGCATAAGTGCCTGCCTTGCAAGCGCACAGTTGTGAGTTCAATCCCTGGTACGAAAGAAAGACAGACAGACAGACAGACAGACAGACAGAATTACAGTGACTTTATACATAATAACCCCAAACCAACAACGATGCAGTTGGTGAAGAGAAGAATGACGAATGAATGAATGAGCAAACATGGTCCACACAGCGGGAACTACCGAGCTAAAAAGGAAGAAAGCACAGGTGCCACTACAAGGACTCAGCTCGCTTACTTTTCAGTACTGGGGATCCAACCCAGGGCCACTCTACCACTGCGATGCGTCCTCAGCTCTTTTTAATTCTTGAGGCTGCGTCTCTTTTAATTGCTGAGGCTGACCTCCAACTTGCCATCCTCCTGCCTCAGCCTCCCCAGCAGGTGGCATCACTCGCATCACCCAGCAGGTGGCATGCACCACCTCAGCAGGGCCGGCTTCACGCATGCTCTCAGGCTGTGCCGATCCTAGCCACTGTTCTTTCACTTCCGTCTGCAGTGCCGTTCGCGGCCTCCGCACGCAGCCCGCCGTGGGCCTGCTCCAGAGAGGGCCTCAGGGTTCCTTATTTCCGCTTTCACTCACTACCGAAGTCGAGGCCCTCGTCACTCGGTAACAGACATTCCTGTCCTTTGGGCCACTTCCAGTCCCCCGGTCTGGTCCCCCAGCAGGCAGCAGCTTCCCTCCCCTTAGGATCAGCAGTGGACTGAACACCACGCCAGGCAATGTTTAGATGCCATGCCAAGTGCCACCCTCAACATCAATCACCAGGGGCCCAGCAGGACGGTGCAGGTCGGGGGAGAACACCTGGCCATGACACAGGCCCTGGGTTTGAACCTCCACCACACACCCAAAAAGTATTTATATAAAACATAGCAGGTCCAAGTATCTACCGGGAAACGCTTTTGCTTATGTCACCTTGCAACGCCTGCCCACGACAGTCTTATTGTAGCCCAGACTGACCTCAAACTCACGTTGATCCTCCTGCCTCAGCCTCCTGAGTTCTGGGATTACAGGTGTGCACCACCACACCCAGCCCAAAGGTATTTCTCATTACTCACTCCAGAGTCATCTGCCCCAGCATTTTCCCTCTTGCCAAAGCGAGGGCCAGCGTCTGGCCTCCTCCGGCCACCAAGCCGCATTTATCTGTTTCCCGTTATAGTCCCCATGGTGACATCATGTCCCTTGCCCCATCTCCTGTGACTACCTCCTTAATACACAGTTCCTCTTGCTCTAATTTCTTTTCTGCCTTCTGCCGGAACCCTTGGATCCTATTTTTATTTCACAACTGGAACCCAAACCAATCTCTCCCCGTAGGCAGTAGGAATATTATTCATTAACTTGTAATCTCGACTATTAGGGAGGCTGAAGCAGGAGGATCACAAATTGGAGGTCAGGCCTGGTAACTTAATGCGACTCTCAAAAAAATTTTTTTAAAATTTTTTTCCCAAAGGCTGGGGATACAACACAATGGTAGAGGGTTTGCCTAACTGAGGCCCTGGATTTAGTGCCCAATTACCCCCCCACACACACACACACGTGTGCGCACAGGTGGTTAACAAAAGGAAATATATTTTCTGATTTTGTTTGGCACTGTCATTGTGAATTGCATTTTACCTAAAACGCTGACACTAGGGCGGGGGATTTAACTCAGCGGCATAAGCACCCGCCTGAAAAGCGCGAGGTCGCGAGTTCGATCCCGGTACCAAAAAAAAAAAAAACAAAAAACAAAAAAAAACAAAAAACGCTGACACTGCCACAGATATTCACATACCAAAAGTTAATCACATGAATGTAACAAGGCATTTCTTTTCAGTCCTAAGCGTTTTGCAACGTAAGCTAAGCTCGGATAAAAAAAGGGGGGGGGGGGTTTTCGTACTCAAATTCTAATTCTAAAAAACCATCGTTGGCAAAAGCAACCCATAATCAGATAAAAACCAGGAGCAATCACCCTGTAGAGTTCTAAGATTATCAAAGCTGGAGGTCAATCCTGGGCGACGATACAAATGTCAAAGACAACCACCGCGCACCTCTGACACTACCTTGCCACAAACCCTGGTATCCCGGTGATTCGTGCTCTTCAGGAAGATGCGCTGGGAACACGAGAAAAGTGTTCACCCAGCAGAAACTGGGTATTTGGTTTTTCAGATGTTTTTTGGGTTTTTTTCCCCTGAGGCAGAGTCTATGTAGTTTAGGCTGCCCTCGAACACACCGCGACCCTCCTGCCTCAGCCTCCCGAGTGCTGGGATTACAGGTGTGCGCCACCGAGCCCGACTCTGAGTAACTTTTACAGTGCTTCCTCCTCGGAGGATCTAAGTGCCGAACTGCCTTCAGGAAAGCGATCTCGTCTTTTACAGACGCCGGCCCACCCGGCAAGCCCACAAGTGCCCGCCCTGCGGCGCTTAGGGAAAGGGACTTCATGGGGTCCTAAGAGCGGAGGCAAATTAGCCAGGTGTCTGGTGGCAGAGGGAAATGAACCTGATGCCCTTCCGCTGGGGCCGCAACAGGGACCTTCCTCACCACCTTGTGGGACGAGGGGCTCCCCCGTGACTCCACTGGGGACCGGGCGCGGAATCCGGCCAAGGGGCTTACCCAGCCTCACAGCCACACGGCCCAGTCCTCGCGGAGAGCACTACGGCCCGGACGCCAAAGAGGGGAACACAGAGGCCGCACGTTCATTGGCTGCAGGAACCGGAAGTGGGTGCGACAAGCGGAAGTGCTCCTCCGCGCGGTCCCGCAGCCGGGGCCCTCAGGTAGGCGGGGCCCCTGTAGGAAAGTCTGGGACCTGCGGGAGGGCAGGAGGCGGACGGGACCCCGACGGTCTGAGGGAGTTGTCCTGGCTCCGATCGGGGAGGAGTTTTGGGGGCGGCGGGTTCACGGCTAACTCTGGTCGTGGTCGAGGCCTGGTCAGCCCGGCCGCCGCGGACCCGAGTCCAGGAGCCTCAGGTTCCCCAGCGGAGAGGGGCTCTGCGGCGGTGGCTGGAGCTGCTTCCTAATCCCGACCCGAGGGTCATGGGCCTGACGCTTCTGCACCCGGGAAAAGGTGTGCTGTGGATTTGACAGTTGCTTTGCAAATGTGTGTGGGTGTCTCCCTAGGAAAACTTCCAGAAAGGCTGCCCGAGGTGCCGCTCCCAGAGTAAACGGAACCTTAAGCCCGCGTAGGAAAAAAGGGTGTGTTAGGGATGCGTGCGGCTGCCCAAGTTAGTTACCAGATTGCTGCAGGCCAAGGTTTTTTTGGGGTTCTGTTTGTTTTGTCTTTTTGAGACAGGGTCTCACTATGCAGTTCAGCCTGGCTTTGAGCTCACTTTGTAGCCCAGGCTGATCTCGAATTTGCAACTTCTGCCTCAGCCTTCGAGTGCTGGGATTACAGGCTTACAGTGCCACGCCCGGCTAGGCCAAATTCTTATAGGAATAAAACAATTTGTTCAGGGCTTTCCCTTTCCTCAGCCAACCCCGCCCCTGGGTGGTTTGAACTTTGAACCTCCTCTAGTCTTGATGAACCGTTTCGCTTTCCACTAGTTGACGATCTGCGAAATTTCAAGAACCGGACATCTGTGCAGTTTTGGAGCTGTCAACACTGTACAGAAGTTCAGAGTTCTAGCGGACAGGTGAGCCAGAACCAGCGCCTTCCGCACGCGTCGCGGAAGCTGGGAGCCCTGTCTATGGTTTCGGGGACCGTGCATCGTTACCACTGTTCCACACTGGGGGGTGCTGGCGAGTCGGGTGTGTCTGGGATCCACCTGTAGCACCCGGGTAAGGCTTTTCAAGTGCCTCTAATAGTCCCTGAAATAGCCTTTCAGATTTTATGAAGGTTAGAAGTGAGGCTTAGTGATTAGAGGGCATTCCTAGAGCGTGGGAGGCGTAGGTTCAACAATCTCCAGCACCCTGGAAAGAAAATGTTGAGCCTTGGTTTACCTTATCCAGTTTTCAGGTGTCTGTTGGGTATTAGGTGCAGGGGGGACTGAGAGAAGAGCACACTCATTTCCTGCTGTCTGAATTTAGTCAGGAGAAGTTAGTGTGATACACTAAAATGATAGGTATGTAATCCATAGCCAGGATAAGAGCTCACGAGAATATGATGTGTAATACAGAAGAAGCAGGCAGTTCTCTTTCATTTACTAAGTATCCAGTATGTTTTGTCTGCCTGGGATTGTGCTAGAAAGAAAAGCAAAAGTGAGGAGTGAGGGGAGAAACTAGCCCTGCAGACCGAGTTTAGATTAGTAAAAAGAAAAAAGGTAACAGCAATGATGGATAAACAAGCTGTGTCTGGAAAACACACATGCACGGGCTGTTCTGGAAAGTTAGGCGAGCACAGACTCTTCATGGCTGCCTTTCTTTTGTGCTGTCCAGGTGTCCAGGAAACCTGAAAACTTAACATAGAGGTCCTAAGAGCAGGCAGTGCTGGAGTCCCACTTCTCACGCTGAACTCTATAGGTCTAGGCCATACTACTGAAAACCTGCAGGACTCGGAGAAGTCCACATGCAAGGCATTGTTCCACGCATGTGTCAGGGATCTTGAGATGACGGGTCACATCCACTTCCCAGCCATCTTTTGCCATGCCCTAATCTCTGATCTCAATAGCACTGCACTTAGCGTGCATGAGGCTCTCGACTCATCACCAGCATCAAGAGAAAGAGTTGAACATTTAGGTTAGACTAGGAAAATTTTTTTCTCAATATATTAAGGGCTGTGGGATATATTTCAGTGTGCTTAGCATGCATGAGGCACCACAAAAATAGAAACAAACCAAAAAATAAACAGAAAAAGTTCAATTTCAAGATACAGATTTTTTTCCCCAAATGTTTGTCGGTGTTGGTGATCAATTCCAGAGCCTTGGACTCCCTAGGCCAGGACTATTTTTGAGCTACAGCTCTAGCCTGCACACTGGCCTGCAACCAGTAGGAGGGATTTTTAGCTGGGCATGATGGCACATACCTGTAATACCAGCACTTGGGAGGCTGAGGCAGGATGGTCACCATGAATTCAAGGCTGGCCCAGGCTACCTAGTGACTTTAAGGCCAGCTTGGGCAACATGCGAGATCCTCATTCAAAAGCAAAGCAAAGATTTTTAATGAAACTATTTACATCTTAATTTAGACATCTTAGATTAAAGACATCTTTAGACATCTTAATTTAAACATTTACATCTTAATTTAGAAAGAAAAGTACACAACAATATTTCTAGACTTTTTTATTTATGTGTTTGTTCTAATTTTTTTTTTTTTTGTACCGGGGATTGAACTCACACTTGCCAAGGCAGGTGTTGTCCTGCTGAGCTATACCCCCAGCAGTACATAAGAATATGCAAGGATTTTGGAGATAAAATTATGAAATCAAATCCTTATAGTCCTTAAAATACATCAGTAATAAAGCTGTGATTTAAATAGCAAAAAAATGCTTTAGGACCAGCAAATTATCAGTGAAACAGAACTGAGGTTGGGGACTGGGCTTATGAAAGGTGGCTGAGTAGTGGATAAAAACGAGTTTGAATGGAGTGGCTTATACACGAGTCCCAGCACTCGGGCGGCAGGACAACTGCTTGGAGTCTAGAGTTTGAAATTGCCTAACAATATAGCAAGACTTCCTCTCATAGAGGGCGTGATGGCCCACACCTGTGATCCCAGCACTCAGGAGGCTGAGGCCGGAGGATCTCCATAAGTTCGAGGCCAAACTGAACCACAGAGGCAGACTCTGTCTCAAAAATAAAATAAAAAACCTCCAAAACAGAAAACTTTCCTCTCATTTAAAAAGCAAAGAAAAGAAAATCCACGTGTGGTGGCTTCTGCCTGTAATTCCAGAATTTGAGAGACAGACAAAAGGATTACTGTGAGTTCTAGGCCAGCCTAGCTCCTTAGCAAGATCTTGTCTCAAAAATAAACAAACAAACCAATAGGGCAGGAGATGTAGTTCAGTGATAGAGGACCCCAGGTTTGGTCACTGGTTCCCCTTATCCCCCTAAGAGGATGCTCTTCTCACAAGTTAAGAAAAGGTACTTAAGCAGGGTAACACTAGGAACATTTTGAGACCTGGAATGTACTTACAAAGTGAAAAAGAATACTGTGCTGTACCATGTGGTTTTATTTTATGACTCACTATAAATTATTTCATGAAGCAAAGTCACAGCTCAACATTCCTATATAAACCTGTGTGTCTATCAACCAAATTCGCTTTAAATAAGATAGAATCTATAGCACAGGCATCGAGTGAATTCACCCAGTCAGCAGGAAGACTCAGAGGTCAGAGGTAGCTCAGTGGTACTGCACTTTCTTAGCAGGCGGAGGACCCACCCCCCCACTTCGCAAGATACAACTGAAGATTCTGGGGCATTTTTCCGGGGTCTTATTACTGTATGAATTTAAAGTACAATACTTAAGCTGAGGTTATTTGTATAATAATCTTTCCTATACCTGGAACTTTTATATTAGATTTAAAATTGTTTTATTTAAATGTAATTAATTTTAAATCACAGCAACATATTGAATCTCTTCAGATCTCCAAACATAATATTCTGTGTGCGGGCTTATTGTTCTACATAGAGATTAGAATGGCTTCCAGAGGAAAGACTGAGACAAGCAAACTGAAGCAGAATTTGGAGGAACAGCTGGATAGACTCATGCAGCAGTTACAAGACCTGGAGGAATGCAGGTAACGGTGGGATTGTGTGTTCTGGCGCTGGCGCTGGGAAGCGATCTCTCCCTTTTTTTTTTGAGATAGGGTCTCACTATGCAGTTCAGGTTGGCTGTGAGCTCACTTTGTAGCCCGGCCTGGCCTGGTCTCAAACTTGTAACAGTTCTCCTGCCTCAGCCTCCTTAGTGTTGGGATTATAGCTGTGCACCACCACGCCCAGTTTTAAAGTGATTTCTTTCTGCCCTCATGGATGCAGTGCTGTGTGTGAATTGCATTTCCCCCTGCAGTATTTTTCACAGTGCTCTGTCTTTTGGAGCCATAAATTCAGAGCAGCTTTAGAGGCCAAAAGCCTGGGATGTGGAAATCTTTTAAGTACTTATTAAATGCACTTCGGCAAAATACTTCATCTCGGTGAGGTGGAAATGCCCCACCTCCTGTCTTCATCGATAGACTGGGCTTGCCTGGCCTGCGCTCCCACAGTCCGCTCCACCCTGGACTTCGCACAGACAGGCCGGTGCCAGGACTGGGGCTGGGGGCTGGCGCTCAGTACTGGAATGGGCACTTAGCACCCTTGAAGGGTTTCACTCCCTGTCACCAAACATGAAAAAGAAAACAGAGTACTGTGGCAGCTTTTTAAAAGCCTTGCAAGGTTGCAGAAAACATGACAACTCAAGTGGCAGCACAGTACTTGGCTAGAGTTGGTGGCCGTGGGTGGGGGCTCGGTAAACAAGAGCTGCTGTTAACTTGCAGTAAATATTTCATAGTAAAAGAATTATCTCACTCAGCTGACAAAGACTGCATTTGTGGAGGACACAAAAGCTTTCCTATCATTAGCAATCATGAAGACAGTAACAGCTGTTTATCAAGTGCCTGTTGCTACGTGTGGCAAGCACGTCCTTATCTCATTTAATGTTCACAGCAGCCCTGTTCAGTGGGCACCATCACTACCAAGAGCTTTACCGATAAACTGAGACGGTGTGCTCACTGCCTTGCCCAAGGCCTTACTATAGACCGTGGGACGTTATTGTCGCTAGCTGCAGCAGCGCACACCTGTCATTCCTGCACCCCAGGTGGCTGAGGCTGGAGGGTAGAAAGTTCTGAAGTCAGCCTGGGCAGCTTAGCAGTGTAGTGAGACCCTGTCTCAAAATAAAACATAAATAAGAAGGCTGGGAACTGGGGGCCGTGGTTTACCGGGTAAGTGCCATCGCCGGGGGAATGGCTGCCACTGAAGAGTGGGTGGCTCTGAGCAAACTCAGCAAAGGACAGCGAACAGCAGCCAGGAGGCCAGTCCAGGACATGGCGCCCCAGAGCCAGGAGCCCTGCATCTCCACGGCAGACACCACAGATGCACAGTTCAGCTTCCATCCGGGCTCTTCGGGTGGGTTTTTTTTTAACCTTTCTCTTGGCTGCTCCAGTCCTCCTTAGAAACAGGTCAGCCTCGCACCTGGCCTGACTTTGGGACACTCTCTCCTAATCAGCGCAGGGCTGACAGCAGGCCGCAAGGCTGATCCCTTGAGGTAGTTGTGAAAAACCCAAGAAGTACTGTATGAGAGTAATCTTTTTAAACCAGGTCTGGTGGTGCACATCTGTAATCCCAGTTCTCAGGAGGCTGAGGTAGGAGGACCGCCTTGAGTTCAAGGCCAGTGTGAGCTACACATAATTCATTCAAGGCCAGCCTAAACTGTGTAGTGAGACCCTGTCTCAAAAAATACATACAAGCTGGGTGTGGTGGCACATGTTTGTAATCCCAGCACTTGGGAGGCTGAAGCAGGAGGATCATTGTGACTTCAAGCTACAAAGCTACAAAGTGAGCTCAAGGCCAGCCTGAACTGCATAGTGAGACCCTGTGTCAAAAAGACAAAAAAAAATTTTTTTTTTAAAATAATGGCTGGGGAGTTAGTTCAGCGCCATAAGCACCTGCCTTGCAAGCATGCAGTCATGAGTTTGATTCCCAGTACCAAAAAATAAATAAATAAAAAATAAAATAACAAGAAAATAAAAGAGCTAGGAATGTAGTACTCAGTCCAACGATCCTGAGTCCCAGTCCCTAGTATTGTCCCCCCAAAAAGAATTTATGACATGTTTGTTAAATATGACTGATTTTGGTAAAAGAAAAAGTTTTCCTATCGAAATGGACACATTGCAAGAAAGTGACTGCAGCCCTGGTCTAGCTCTGGAAACTTCTACCGTCAGCACCGCTGTTTCCCTTCAGCCTTCCTGGCCAGCACTGAGATTGCTCTTTCCCCTTGGAACTCTGTTTTTCTGCTTCTGCTGCTCGCTGTACCGCAGAGAGGAGCTTGACACAGATGAATATGAGGAGACCAAAAAGGAAACTCTGGAGCAGCTGAGTGAATTTAATGATTCACTGAAGAAGATTATGTCTGGAAACATGACGCTGGTGGACGAGCTCAGCGGGATGCAGCTGGTGAGCGGGGTTTTCTCTGCCTTTTCCCCCAGAGCGTGTATGTTTTTCTGGTAGAGAACGCTCCCCTCCTAGGTGCAGCTTCTCAGTAAATGTCTGCTTCCAACACGCTAGGGCAGGTCTTGATGCATTTAGCACTGGGGACAGGCACAGAAATAGTAAATGAAAACTGATTTTGTAACAGCCTCAATGAACAAAGAGCCATTCATGACATTCGGCCAGTCAGCGATGGCAGCCCAACTCCCTGGAATGTTTTGGTTAGCTTTTGCCTTCCTGTGTTTCTAGGCTATTCAGGCGGCCATCAGTCAGGCCTTCAAAACCCCAGAGGTCATCAGATTGTTTGCAAAGAAGCAACCTGGTCAGCTTCGGACAAGGTTAGCAGAGGTAAAGTTTCTTTCAGTGATCAGGTCACTGTATTTTTCTTCCTAGCTGTATTCTCCTTCCTATCACAAGAGGAATTTGCTCCTTGTGGTAGCCCATAGGTTAAGAATTAGTCCGCTGATTTTAGATCCACAACCCACAGTTTTCTGACAAAATTGTGCCATTACAGGTGATACTGACTGCAGTTGTATAAACATGTGCAGCAATTTAAATTACCTCTGAGGGGCTGGGGATTTAGCTCAGCAGCATAAGCACCTGCCTTGCAAGCAGGTGGTCATGAGTTCGATCCCTGGTACCAATAAAAAGTTTAAAAAAAAAAGGAAAAAAAAGTAAATTACCTCTGACCACATGGACCTGGACTACACCACTGTCGACTCTTTTGAGCCAGGGTCTGGCTAATGCAACTCAAGTTACCTTTAAACTCACTGTCTAACCCAGACTGGTCTCAGACTCAGCAATCTGCCTGCCTCAGCCTCTAGTCTCCTCTTTCAGTGTTTTATCATTTGCTTCTGCAGCCCTGATTAGAGTTCCCACTGAGAGCCCCACTGAGTGCTCCTCCTGCCTCAGCCTCCCCAGTGCAGGGACAGGTGTGTGCCACCACACCAGCTTATAATTCTTCATAAGACTTTGTCTTAGTTTGTAGCACCGTAGTTTGTACTACCTTCATCGTGAGGGTGTGGTGCACAAATGTCTCAATTCCTTTTTCAGCCCCTCCCCACTTCGCGCCCCTTAACTCTTTATAATACAACTGGGTGGTTTAAGAAGGCAATCTGGGAGGCTGGCTTCTGTGCACTGACTGTCTTCTCTTACTATGCGCCTGCATCCTCCCTGCAGATGGACAGAGACCTGATGGTGGGCAAGCTGGCCCGGGACCTGTACACTCAGCAGAAAGTGGAGATCCTCACGGCCCTGCGCAAGCTCGGCGAGAAGGTATGCCTGGAGCTGCCTGTGCTAGGCGTGGGGCCAAGGGGACGTGTTTGTCACAGAACTTCCTGAGCTGCGCTGTAGTTTCCGCCCCCACCCCAAGAGGGTCTAACCGTGCTCCCCGGAGCCCCACATGACGTCTGAACCTGTCCCCTGGGCCCTGTCTCGTTTTATTCAGCTGACTGCAGATGACGAGGCCTTCCTGTCCGCAAATGCTGGTGCTGTCCTCAGCCAGTTTGAGAAAGTCTCCTCCGACCTCAGTGAGTGCCCTCCTGTGCTCTCGCCTGCTTCGTGGTTTGTACTTGTCATGGGTCCCTGTTCGCAGTACAGGGTGGTGGTGCTCACTGTGGGGAGTTGCTACCTGTGCCAAGATCGTCTCAGTCCTTTTTACTTTCCTTCCCTTCCTCCCCTCCACCTTTTGGTTGCCTTCCCATTTGCAAAAATCTGCCTCCCTGCTTTTGGCTAGCTGGCATTTAGTTTGCTCTTTAATGCATTAATACTCTGGTTCTCTCATCTGAGAGAAACCGTGTGATGTTTCGGCCTAGACGTTCTGCGCATGACGGCTAAGTTTTGGAAGCCGCACACACGGCCATCAGCAGATGCACGGGTGAGGGAAAGGTGGTTTTTGGAATGTGTTTGTTTGTTTTTGGTGCCACTGCCACGCACCGCTGCCACCTGAGATTGAGGGCTTCCTGCTGCTAAGCAGGGCCGGCTGCCTTGGCCTCTGAGAATGCAAGGCATGTGATGACTTTTCCTTGATCTACAGTGACATCAGCATCACTTTCTCTATAAATCCTTTGTGTTGGTTTTATTCCCCAATACTTTTAAATTATTAATTTAAAATAATTAAATTCATGCAGAATTCAAATACGCAGCCTAATTTTTGTTTTTAATAATATTTGTTGGGCCGAGGATATCGTTCAGTGGCACAAGTGCCTGCCTGGCAATTACAAGGTCCTGAGTTCCATTGCTAGTATCAAAAACAACAACAACAATAATAATACAATTTTCTTTTGAAACAGCATCTCAGTATGCAGTTCAGGCTGATCTTAAGCCTACTTTGTAGCCCAGGCTGGTCTTGAACTTACAAGGATCCTCTTGCCTCAGCCTCCCGAGTGCTGGGATTACGAGTGTGAGCCACCACACCTGGCTTAGTAATAATATTGTCTGTGTTTTAGAGTGAGGTATCACTGTTTTCCCAGGCCAGCCTCCAGCTCCTGTGCTCCAGGGACCCCAGGCCTCACTTGCTGGGTGGCCGGGATCGTGGGCATATGTAGTTTTGCTACCTCAAGTTTTCAAGTCCTTATCTACAAGGCATAACCCTGGCAGGAGCCAGGAAGTTCATCCTATTTCGTATCTGGAGTTTGGAGCTGAGCGGCCTCTCCTGTGGCTGGCTGGTTTGCACTGAGGGGAGACAGGGTAGCCACGGGAAGGACAGGTCTGTGTGTTGGCAGTGGCGGCTAACTCGGTGTCCTCTCTCTGGACAAGAAATCGCACATGTGTTAGAAATAACCTTGTTGGGGCTGGGGATTTAGCTCAGCGGCATAAGCGCCTGCCTTGAAGCAGGCAGTCGTGAGTTCGATCCCTGGTATGGATAAAAAAGGAAAAAGACAAAAAAAAAAAAAAAAGAAATAACCTTGTTGTTACACTTCTCTCTCTTAGGCTCTGGAGACAAGGTCTTCGCTCTGGCAAGTTGTGAAGTTGAAAGAGCGAAAAAATGAAGCGGTTTGCAGCTGGTGCTGTTGATTGCATCCTCACTGTGCACGGTGGGTTTCTCCTGAGGGTTCCGAGCCATCACAGCCACGCAGAGCCTCTCAACATGCACTCACTGGAGCGGGCTCCGTGTGAGGCCTGGGCCGTGGGCAGTGAGGGACTCGCTGGCCCTCGCCCCTTATGGCCTCTCTGTTTGCGAGGGAAAACATAAAGCGACTTCTGTGTGTTTCTGAAGACTCCTTGACTCTCAGTGCTGGGACTGAGTGACACGGTGAGAGCCAGGCCCCCCTCTGTTCTTCCCTTTCCTCCCCCGAGAGTGACCATTGCAGAGCGGCACTCGGCGAGGCCAAGGTCGTGGACCCTTAGGCTTTGCGGCAATCATAGAAATCACTTTCATTTTATAGAAATCAAACTGACACCCAGAGTGAGCGTGGGTGGGCATTGGCAAACCCCAGTGCGGTTCCCAGGTGGCAGAGAGGAGCGGGCAGGAGAAAGGGCAGATCCGTGCTCTGCCAAACTCCCGCCAGAGGGGGCTGGGGATTAAGTGCAGTGGCATAAGCGCCTGCCTTGCAAGTGTGTGGTTGTGAGTTCAATCCCCGGTACCGATAAAAAGACAGTTTTCCTCTTCAGAGGAAAACTGGGTAAAGGCGGGTGGCCTGGCTCTCACTTTATCACCAGTTTGATTTTATTTCATTATTCTGTAATGCTTAGAAACGTAATTAACTTGTACTTGAGCAGGCCAGCATCTCTGAGAACTGGGTACCCTGCCTGGGAGCTCGGCATGAACGGGCCATGGTGCCCCATTTCTGCCTGGGAACAAAGGCACCCTGTGGAGGCCCCGAAAGGCCTTGCAGGCCTTGCAGGTCGCAGGGGAGCCATAGAAAGTGGCAGCCTGTGGCCTCCTGGGCCTGACCTCCCGCCAGGCTGAGTGGGAACAGTAGGCTGCTGTTTACTTTGCAGTTTGGGGAGACATGAAACAAATTCCATGTTTTTATTATCTTTCTTCTGCACTTTATGCAAGTTAAAACATTTTTTATGCTTCCTATGTACTGTAAATTCTACTAGGTGCTTTGCCAACTAGACAAATTAGAGGACCTCAGCTACCTTAATACCTTCTGTGGGATTTTTTTTTTTTATCTGTACCGGGGATCGAACTTATGAGTGTGCGCTTGGAAGGCAGGCGCTTATGCCACTGAGCTAAATCCCCAGCCCCTTTGGGATTTTTAACATTTTTTGTTGGTGGTTTTTGTATTCTTTTTGAAGTCTTACTATGTTGCCCACACTGGCCTTGAACTCCTGGGCTCAAGTGATCCTCCTGCCTCAGCCTTCTAAGTAGCTGGGACCACAGGCAGGTGCCACTCCCCTCAGCTAATAGTTTTGGGGGTTTTTTTTGTTTTTTTTTGGTACTAGGGATTGAATTTATGACCTTGCATTTGCCAGGCAGGTGCTTACGCTGCTGAGCTAAATCCCCAGCCCCTAAATGGCTGTTTATATTCTGGTTTATGACAAAATGTGACAAACCAAGGAAAACCAAATTACCCGCTGTTCATCTAAGGCTTTATGGTCCTTTACCATTGTTTCATTGTTGGGTGTGGCTTTAATGGAGGTGAAATCTCCCTTAACTGATGTTCATGGCTTCACAGTGTACAACCAATTGGTGACGATGATGCTCACAGCATTGTGCAACCCTCACCAGCGCCCTTGTCTGAAACCCCTCCCTCAACCCCTCCCAGCGCTGCGCCCCATTCTTTCCCTCAGCCCTTCAGGGCTGCAGCGCACCCTCCTCCCTGCAGAAGATGGGCTGGGACAGAACATCCCCTTCTCGGCGTGGGCTTCTGGTGTCTTGGGGGCTGTTTTCAAAGCCAGCCCTGCTGTAGGTTGCTTTGGTACTTTCTGTGGTCAGATAATATTCCACTGTGGAGAAACCATACTCTGTTTATTTGTTGACAAAAATTTGAGTTTTTACCTTTGGCTACTGTGAATCGTGCTCTTAGAAAATTTGTGTACAAATATTTCTTTGAATATGTGTTTTCAATTGCCTTAGGATATAACCCTACAAATGGAATTGTATGTTTGGTATGTTTGTTTCTTAAGCCACATCCTGCCTCAGCCTCCTAAGTACTGGATGACAGGCCTGCACTACTGTGTCTGGCCTTCCTTAAACTTTAAGACCAGCATTGGCAAAACGTTTTGTCACTGATCGCAGTTGTGTATTAAGTATAAAACTGTGCCTTTAGAAGACCACAGATGTGCTGTGCCCAGCAAGACACTGATAGTCGTGGTCGTGTGACCTTTGGCGACTCGCTTCACCCTTTCCTGCTCACTGGGGTGACAAGGCCAGCCTCATAGGCTCCTCCTCTGTCACACAGAGCAGAGGCTGCTGTGACGCTAGCCCACTGCGCCAGAGTGCCTGCAGGCACCGTGTGACTTCCCGGGTTTCACAGCCTTTGTATTCACTCAGAAAAATAAGTTGGGGGGAAAAAAAGCCAAAGAAGTCGAAAAGTGAATTCTGTGGGCTTGCAGTTATTGATGGGCTTCTGCACTGTGCTTTTTACTCACACTTTGCTAGTTCCTAGGTCTCCAGAAGTTGGAGGTCTCAGTTTCACTAAGGCAGCTAACTTTTCCACATTCTTTTTTTTTTTCCCACATTCTTGGGTCAGGTTAATATTTTGGTGAAATTCCTGCATTTCTTAAAGAACTGGGGCTGAGGCAAAATAAATTCCCTAATCATTTCCATTGATTCCTAAGCTTTAGCCCTTATGCCAAGCATGGTGGGGCATGCCTGAAACCCAGCACTCAAAAGGCTGAGGCAGGAGGATCGTTGCAAGTTCGAGGCCAGCCTGGGCTACAAAGTGAGATCAAGGCCAGCCTGAACTGCATAGTGAGACCCTGTCTCAAAAAACCAAAACAAAACAAAAAAATTAGCATTTATCCTGTGACTAGTAAAATAGCTCCCCTCAGTGAGAGTTCTTAAGGAGGAAAAGGAGATGACGGGGTTATTCCCAGGCAAGAGTTGGAGTGTAGGGGCTGGAGGTTTAGCTCAGCGGCATAAGCGCCTGTCTTAAAAGCAGGCAGTCGTGAGTTCGATCCCCAGTACCGATAAAAAGGAAAAAGACAAAAAAAAAAAAAAAAAAAAAAAAGAGTTGGAGTGTGGACAAGTAGGTTGTTAATGTCCCTAGACCAGTTTTGGAAGAGATTCACCTAAGGAAAGGCCATCTTTAGGGAGATAAAAATTGTGTAACTCTACCACCAAAATGGTATCTTACTGCAGTGACTAATGGATACTTTCAAATCATTACAGAGCAAATAAACCCAGGGCATTTGCCTGGAGCCTTTTAACCACTTTCTCACCCCCCCCCCTACTCCATTCTATTTATTGCTAAAACCAAGACCGCTTTCCCCCCTTAGACTGCTCTCCAGCGTTAGTATGGGAATTAAACCTGTTCCATTCCCACAGACCTCATGAGCAAACTGCAAGATAGTTGCTACCATCCTGTCTGGGCCTGGAAGTAAAAAGCCCTCAGAAATTGGAGAAACTAATATTGAAGAGTCATCGAGTTGCAAAACTCAGGTTAAAATAAAATAAATGCTGGTTAAAAACAGGCTCTAGCACACAGTCCCCAAACGCAGGGAGGCCTCCTGAGGTCCAAACTCCCTTCCCGCCTCCCAGTTCCCATAGAGAACAAGCTGAGACTGTTCCTGACAGGGCTCGGACGCCAGGGGGCAGCACAGATTCCAGTGTCCACGCGGTTCCCCAGTGCAGTGAGTAGACAGGCTGGAGCTGCTGGGTGAGCATAGGAAGCTGCATGCTGGCCTAGGAGAAGGGCACTGCCTGCAACCTCGGCCACGTGCTGCACCTGAAAATGCTGCGGGCTGCAGTGTAGCTGTGTATGCACGAGGTTCCGGGTTCCGTCCCCAACACAGCAGTCATATCATTTAGAGGACAGTAGGTGTGGGTGGTGTATGTCTGCCATCCCAGCCCTCAGGAGGCTGAGGCAGGAGGTTCGGATCGCTCTGAGTTGGAGGCCAGTCTGGGCCACATAGTGAGTTCAACTGTATAAAAGCAAAACAATGCTATGGTTGGAATGTTTTCCACTGTGTAATGTACGTATTAAGATAGGAGGTAGTTCACACCTGCAATTTCAGCACTCCTAAGAGGCTGAATTGGAGTAATGGTAGGTCAAAGTCCAGCCTGGGCCTCTGAAAATGTAGTGAAACCTGTCTTAAAGTAAAAAAGGCTAAAATTAAAATAAATAAATAAATAAATCAAAATAAAAAAGGCTAGAAATCAGCTTCGTGTGAATATTCAGTAGGGCACAAATTTTTTCGAAAATCTTTTAGGCAGGTGAGGTGTGGTGGCACATGCCTGTAATCCCAGCACTCGGGAAGCTGAAGCAGGAGGAGTTCAAAGGCAACCTGGGCTACATAATGAATTCAGCCTGAACTACGTAGTCATAGTTAGATCTTGTCTCAAAAATCAACAAAGTCTTTTAAAAGCCTGGGGATGTACTTCAATGCAAAAGCCTTGGGTTCAACACCCAGTACTGGAAAGAAACACCCCATGAAGTGGAGGCGTTCTGCTCGGCCTGGCCAGGGAGCTGAGGTGTCCGTAGTCAGGGTCTCTGGAGGAAGGGGAAGTGGAAGTAGCTGGAAGCCCGAACTCAGAGCGAGCCTGGAACCCTGTTCCTCCTGCCGTCTCCTTCCTGGAGGTGAGGTAAGTTCCCCTTTCTGTTCTCTTTCAATACCGTGAGTTGGGCTGGGGAGGTCCTGTGATGGCCCAGATGGGCCGAGGCTGGGAGGAGCTCGAATGTTAATGCTGCGTGTTCATCTCTGCGGTGTCCCTGGCCGAGAGCACAACAGCCAGCTACAGCCGGTCCCCATCTGGTTCCAGACCCTGCAGCCTCCCCAGCCTGCTGCTTCCAGCTGTCTCCTTCTGGGAGAGAAATTAAGTGGAAAGTCCTGTCACCTGCGTGCTGGCCGGAGCGCTCCAGCACCTGCCTCATCCCTAAGGAAGGTTTTTCTGCTTATTAGTGAAATAAGTGTCGCTTTCCGGTCCATCTGCACTGGGCACCAATTAGAGGAGCGGCTGCTCCCTGCCAAGCTCCATGCCAGCCGCCTGCAGCCCTATAGCTCCCAGGAGAGCTTGGGGGCCCCCGCACCCCAGCAGCCTGGCGAGGTTTCAGTCCCACTTCTAGCTGAGGCGTATCTCACATACCTCGAAGTCCCTGGGTCTCTA